AAAAGTACGGCCCAAGGGTATGGCTTCCTCTCATATTTTTGCATTTGGTGGCGCACTTTCGGCGTGAGTCGGAAATTCAGAAACAGTCGACCGTTTCAGGATAGGTGGGCGTGGCTACAGCACGGAAAATATCTCAAATTTACTAGGATACGAGTAATCATTTTCAGCAAAAAAATCAATAATTGCCCATTTCAGTGGGGCACAGATCTAAAATGGGAAGCGTGTGGGTGGGCATTGCACAGGCACTTTAACTCTGTGTTTTTTAATAATCATGTCGCATGTGAAACGCAGGAGACATTTTAGTTCGCTAATTTCCTGTTTACCAATCTTGAACTTTTTGTCAGGAATGTGATACAGACAAAGATTAAACAGTAACAATACCTACCGTTGTCAAATCAACCAAGAGGACTCGAATCAGGAAGACTTGGGTATTTCAAACTTCGTAAATAGCATTCATTTCAAGCGCAGACTTTATTCGAGTGTAATTAACGTAAGTGAAATGTATTCACGAGCCATAATACTCGTACCTTCTAAAGTTACGACTTTTACTCTTGAAATTGGTGATAAATACTTGCATAAAATACAAACATATACCATTTTTCATGCAACAACAATTCGTATACAGCATTGGATTTATTGGATTTTTACGCGTTTCGACTTCACAGCACAGTCACTCTAGTAGAGTGACTGTTCACAGTGAATTATTTTTAGCGTCATATTTGAAATAGCGCGCTTGATGCAAGATGTCGGACGGGGAAATTGGGGTCTGTAAAAATGTTTGTTGGTTCAGTCAGGCAATGTGTGGACCAAAACATCGCCCACTATTTGAAACATCGCCCATGGACGGGGTTTAGGATGGGCGGGGTATCAGCCGAATCAGGTATGTGGTCAGTGAATTTGCAATACAAGTATAATTGAGCCAAAAAATGCAGATTTTTGTCAATTAAAATGCCTGCCCGTCAGCAATCAGAGATTAGATCGCGACACAAATAAACTTGCATCTGGACATTGTCTCTACCAAATACTAACAAATAATTGATGCACCAGTAAACTAACTGATGTTACCAATATCACAAGTTTTAACAGAATTGATGTGTGCAACTTCAAGAAACTGCTCTGCACACATGTACAGTTTTAGACCATTTTAGGGTCAAATATGGCCGCCAGTCAGCCATTTTGAATCATATTCTAATGAAAAAATAGGAGCATATGTATACTATCACATATCAACTATATATCTTTTTTTGAAACAATCTGTCAAACTTCTGAGAAAATACAACAGATGAATGAATGAAAAGATGGACACACAGAACCCAATCCTAGAATGTTCATTTGAGCGCTAAGAACACTAGTAAGGTCAAAGGAATATACTGCAGGATTTTTTTTTGTCTGTCCCTGATGTATGTTTTTGTACTACACATTACTTACATGTCTGAGTATTATTTCACCAATACTTTTGTCATCACTATAGTCAGCTAATAATTCAGACAGATCTTCTTTCAATTTCATATGCACTTCATATATAATAGGTATACTTCCAAATATAGTCTTGATGTCTTCAGCTGGTATAAGTGGACCGCCTGTCTGATTTTGTTCTAGTGGCTCTTTGAAAACCTGTTAATAAATAATTCAGATTTGAATTCCTTATTTTCTCTATTAAAGGGGTTCCCTAATTTACTGGATCATTAAAATATGACACATTTTTGTCTATATTATAACAAAATTCCTTAGTTTGTGCACCCTAACAATATTTACATTAGTAGCAACCTTGTGGGCGTGGTTTGTGTGTTTGGGTTAGGTCCCCCTAGCTGACTGCTTACTCAGCAGTATAAATTCTGCCTAGCACACCAAACATGTGATGTTATGATGTAGATAATATTGCCCTAGCAGACATAGAGAACGATAAAAACATGTAAGCTGCTCTTATCATCAGCTCACACTATGCCAGACGAATCATTGGTACATACTTGTAAGAGCTGGTCTTTCACATGATTGTGTTATTTGACTATTTGCATATTGATCTGAGTGATAAATAAATAAAAATAAAATACCTTGATAATTGTATGTAAGATACCAACATAATTACTTTCAGTTTGTAATAATTCCATCGCAATATGTTCTCGTTTGCTTATTATTCGTTTAGGTGGTGCAGGCGGTGTGGTTGGTGCCGTATCCACCGACTGAGGTGTACCTGAAGACGAAGGCAAGGAATGTATAGTTATTTACATTATTATTTAAGATTGTTTACAGCTAATACCAGACTTGTGGTATTGCGAGAAACAGTGTTTATATTCGGATGTACTATCTGTGATGACCTCTTCATCATACATGAAACATACATACAGCAACAAAATAATGAAACTGACAACAAGTGAACATCATACAATATGATTTGCTGAATTATTGACTCAAGTACATTTTTAAACTAGTGAATATTAGATATTTTTCAGTTTCTGAGTAAATTTGAATCTGTACAATCTGCACACATAACTAGAATATCCAAATTAAGGAAAGAATTTTTCTGAGACGGTTTCCAGAGAATGGTCTAAAGGTAACTACAATTTTAGTGTTGGATCTTGATCAAGTAAAATATTGTAAGAATAATAATAATAATCATATGCTTTACTACAACGTGATTAGCTATGGCAATGTTGTAGAAAAGTGATTTTTTAACTCCACATATATCACAGTTGATTATGACATATGCAAATAGCAGCTCTAGATCCAAGTCTGCTTCACAGATTATAGTCTATTTTCAAACACTTACAAGCAGTTCTAAGAGTGATGGATGAATCCGGTGTATGAGAGGCATCTAAGAAGGAACCAGACATAGACAGCATTCCCATGTCACTGGATCTTCTCTTTCTTGGAGGCACATGTGGGGATTCATGTTCACTCTCTTTTGACAAAGCTGCTATGCTCTCTCGTAACCGTCTACGTTTTCGAGAGCGAGCTACTGGTGTGCCTGGAGTAGAAGTCTTATGATCTGATGAATCGACCTGTCAAGGAGAATGAGCCAAAGCCAACTTCAAGTCAAGTCTACAATTCGGGCGCCACATTTTTTCCCTCGCTAAACTTTTGGTGCAACAGTTTGCTTATTTTTATGTATTATGTATATTTTTTTTTTTTAATTTTGTAGTTAATGAAATAATTTCCTATTGGCTGTAAGTCTTGATCAACTTTTTTGGAAAAAAATATTAAAAATACGAAGTAGGTGTAATCTTGTGAAAGGTGACGATAATTGTCTTTAGTGCTCATTAGAGACAGCAGAGAGCACAGTACCTACCTTTGTGAAACGGTACATGGTTTCATCTGCACATGCAGCCATCTGTATACTACCCCAAAACCACTATCAAAGAGAATAGCAACATGATTACTAATATACTAACATTACAACTGAAATCCACTGTGTTGTGTCTATCTGACTTCAGATTTGGTGGCACACTGGTGATCTTTGAAACCAAGACCAACTGTAATTTTAATTCCTGTTTTTTCGATATAATGTTAATCTTAAACTTTAACCAAATGAATAAACTTTTAACCAACCTCAGACTTGACTATGTGAATTTTACCATTGCATTCAAATGGTAAGTCTTTTACAGTGACATCATCAATAACTAAATGCGTACAACTTTTATCACCGACTGGAGCAGATGATCCACCTACAATATAAACACAAGTTACTATTAGAGTACATCACATCAGGTGTTCCAAAAATATGAACAAAAAACAATACACAGATTTTATAATGATGTGTAGTGTCAAATAAAATAATACAATCTATGTTGTTTAGTTATTTTTTATAACGACATGCCATAGATAACTGCACCCATTGATTGGAGAGGCATTCCCAAGCAGTCTCCCATGTAACAGGTAACTGCACCCATTGATTGGGGAGGCATTCCCAGGCAGTCTCCCATGTAACAGGTAACTGCACCCATTGATTGGAGAGGCATTTCCAGGCAGTCTCCCATGTAACAGGTAACTGCACCCATTGATTGGAGAAACATTCCCAGGCAGTCTCCCATGTCACAGGTAACTGCAATCTGATTAAAATCTGATGTAGTGTACGGGCTTTAATTATTTTGGCTATAAACTTATTTTAATTTTATGTTTTATTACTTTTGTTATTAATGCCTTTTTATTTTATTATTTTACTTTGATTTTGATTTTGTGATTTTTTTTAAATTCCGCCCTACATACATCTGAGCCGATGCCTATGTAACGAGATTTCAACGAGACCCACTGTCGACGATTTTAGTCAATGAATCACAGACCTTCTTCTATAGCGCACATGATGACGTCATTGGGCAGAGTCAGGGTGGCAAACACACTCAAATAAAATGGCGGATTATACCGACGTTAGCGACCGAGAAGAACACGGCTTTTCGGTAAGTTTATCATTGTCAAATGCAACGAAAGTCATTTTTTTTGTGTTTATATTGTGGCTCGAATGGTTCGAGTTTAGATCGTTATTTTGCGTAGTTATTCTGGGAGTGACGATTTTGTTTCCACCGGTTCGACCGAACACCGGTGTCTTTTTCCAGTCGCTTGCCCTGGAGACGGGTGATGTTTTGTTGACGATCGGGCCAAAACCGTCTTGA